GAAGTTTCCACGTAAGAGTTTCTGTAGCTGCCGACAGTTTAAGAATCACTCCGCTGCCATTGAGTTTGGGGCATCAGCCAGTACAAACGCCTAAGAACCAGTGTTGGAAAGTAATTTAAGTACACTGTAGTTAAAGTGCTGCTTCAAGTAGGTTTAGAAAAGTTGTACCTTGGTGTGCAATCAATACTTGTGCTTTAAAGTTTTTTTTTTTTTTTTTTTTTTTTCTTGTACTTTCCAAGGAAAATACAACTCCGAATTTTAAATTACATATCCCAAATGTTAAAAAAAAGGCGTATCGTCGTTTGAGAACGCACTATCGTCTTGCGACACGTCATCTCGTCATTTCTCTGGGCGAAGTAATTGCAACTGTGATACCCTAGTTACACTAGCGGTCTTAAATGTTGTTAAGCCAACGACAGTTGACTCAGTCACGATCGGCCGGCGAGACCGGTACAAATACGTGCCCTATAAGCTTATGGTGTTCAATAGTTTATCAGCGAGAGTAAAGCAACTACTATGTGGCCACTTGACTTTATCCGATATTCGCTGCCGCGTTTGAAAATAACTGACGCATCCCTGATTACCCCTAAAGCAATTTATACCAGTTAAAAAAAAAACTATTGGAGATTTACAAGGCATCATGAAAGATTGTGTTAAAAACTATTTGTACTTTACTTTAGCAGTACAGTGTACTGTTTAGCAGTACAATGTACTCACTTGAAGTAGAGAACTTCTAATTTACCTTGCACTTCACATCTAATACCTTTTTGACGCACTTTACCGAACACTGCGAATAACGAATCACGGAGCAAGAAGTGTGGATATAATAAGCTAGGTTCTGCGTTCCTTCAACTGTAGGCGACTATAAGAAGTATTCACTGGCGGCCATAGCTGTGTGCACGACTGCTGAGCGCGTGCTGATGGCGAGCTTCTACTGTTCTTTTGTAACGTGGATTCCGCACCCTAAAGATCGCCGGTCTTAGCAGCTAATTAATGGGGGCTTGTTCAAAGCATGCGCTCTAGACATCACCCACAAATATGGCGCCCAGTGAATACTCTTTATACACATCTGCAAGGGGGGTCCCGGCTTAACTACGAACCAAACGCCGAGATTAGGTGGACCCAACGTTACTAAACCACTCAGTTGGGAAACTGCTATAGAGACCGCTCTGGAAAAGTGGTCCCGATCTGTCCTCGCGAACCGAGCTTATGGCGAACGCAACGCCGCCATATGTCCCGCAGCAGCCCCTCGAGGAACCGCACGTTACTTCTATTTTTGACTTTAATTGGCCATTTCGGCGCCGAAACAGATACAGTGGAAGAGGTTACATGGCTACCACCCCCGTCTCCCCAGCGGACGCGCCGCGTCTTACTACCGAAGTTAAAATGCTCCTAGGTCGGGACGCGCTACCTGAAAGCACCGCTGAGGCATGGCTGTATAAATACAATATTAATTGTGCTGCAAAACCTTGCAAACTAAACATTTTATAAACATCACGCGCCCCTCATTTAGTACTAAACTCCAATATATTTCATACAAAAAAAAAGTCTTTTCCGCTTGTTTTTACGCAAAAACATGCTTTCTAAAAGCTCAAGATGACCACAGTACAGACAAATGATAAAGAGTGGCGCTGTTGTCGTATTTAGCTCTGTCTCGGCGGACGCCAGCGGCCCAGGTTTCGACAGCGAGTTTCCCAACTGAGTGTTCTAGTAACGTTGGGTGGACCTCTTTCCAGCGTGGACGTTCGCTGCTTGTCGTACAATGTTGCTAAGCGTCTATTGCTGAAGCATACACCACTGAGCGCAGAAAGAAATTAAAAAAAAAAAGATAAAACATACAGGTGTTATCTTCGACCGCGACAGAGCACAGCCAATTAAATAAAATACCTAAACCAGTAACAAATCGAAACATTTGAATTATATCTAAAGTCTCAGAGAGCTTACCAGAATGCGCCAGAAGCCGCATGGCCATCGCATCAACGATGGCTGCGCTCGCTGCATCTCTGGCTTTTACGATGTGCTGGAACAGAGGCTACAACAGTTAAATAGTTTGAGCTGACTTTATAAAGATCAAAAAAACTGCTCCGACTTTACTCAACAAGATAAACAATTTAAATTGTTAATCTTGTTGAGTAAAGTCGGAGCAGTTTTTTTTATCATTATGATTCCCGGCTTTTGGAATATTTTTGACTTTATAAAGTCCTACAATATTTGATGCTACGATTCTGTGTGGATACGTCCTCCTGCGTTTCGAAACAGTAAGTGTGTCGCTAACTCTGGCCGTTGGCGATACACCAGACGCCGCGTCTTGTCATTGCTCACCCCAATGACGTGCTCCTGGCGCACTCCAGCATGGCGGAAACGTTACGCGGCGTCAGCATCGCTCAAGATGGCAGCGCACAGGAGCCTCTCTAGCAAACGTATATAGATAATTGCGAGCAGGTCATCTGGCGGCCGTCATTCCTCTGCTCGTGCTGTCAAGTACGTGCAATTGAGAGCTTTCGAAAGCTACGTTCCCGCGCACGCTGCACGTGATCGCAGTGCCTCGCACACATGGCGCACCAGTCAGGCGCCATGCTTGCAATCGTCTACAGCCGTTCTTATTGCATACGTTGTCGCGTTTTGTGCGTGTTATGTTAGCCCGCCTACGGGCGAAGTCCAGTCCTCGCGACCTGTTGTGGTTACACATTGTGCCGTCACTTGGATTTTTTTTTTAAATTATACATAATCGCAAGCATGGCGTCCCGACTGGTGCCTCATGAGCGCAAGCCCAGGCAGCTTGCGTGTGAACATAGCTTTGGCAAGCTTGCAATAAACCTTTCGCTAAATTACCCAATCATCCAAGATAATGCTGGGAACGTATGTACTATCGGGGAAAAATGAAATGCGAACAGAGGAGCGCGTGGCCCGCCGTACAGGATGCGCCTCCTGGAAGTGAGCCTAGGGGCGAGGGTGCGTGGCCTACTCCGATGTGTTTCTGATGTGCATCTTGCACGCGCGTCCTTCAGCGCTTTATTTTGGTCCTTTACTTATACTTCGTCTCACCTTAGCATGAACTAGGGTGCCTTCATGTGCGCTTTGCTTAGGGTGGAGACATCTGGTCCATTTTGTTCCGACTTTTACGTTTAGTTTTTGTTCAGAAGCGCGTGAAAGAGCGTGTCCCTGCACGCGTCTGTGGCGCTGACTGTGCAATGGCGACATTTTGTTTTCGTCGATTTCTTTGTATTTTCCCTGTGAGCGCGTGCTGTCGGCATCGGGTACTACAAAGGGTGGCATCACTCTAAACAGAAGGTCATTGAGGCACCCTAGCATGAACTATTGTTAGCCGCGCATGCTAAAAGCGCGAGCTATTTCCTTTGTATGAAGTCGCGGTGGCTGCACGAGCGCTCGTACATCGAGTGCTCCAGTCGAGGCAATCAAGGCTACCCGCTCGAGCTTGCACAGCCTTTGCAGTTAGTCCGTGCTAAGGTGAGGCGACGTATTGAATCCTATATACGGGGAAGGCGTGTGCGCGTAGCGCGTGGAACACCAATCCCTGCATTTTCCTTGATGCTTGGGCAATATAGCAAATGGTCTATTGCGCAGGCTGGTCCGCACGAGCAGAGACATGGCGGCGACCAGTCGCCGGGTGTAGCACGACTGCCCCGCGTGCAGAATCCCTGTCGCCAAAACCCCGCGTCATTAGCCCAAAGTTTGGAAAAAGCCGCGTTCAATTACCTCGTCCCGTGTTCCCCAAGAGCCAAAATCCCCGTTCTTACTGCCCCTGTCCCATCCCCTTTGCGCTTCAACCAGCATTGTTCTGTACCTTAACCTAATCTGTTGAGGGGGTACCAAGGGGAGCTTTATCCAGTTATTCCTTACTTGAATCTCGGGCACAGCATGATTACGTCACACAAGTTCGCGTCCACACTTAGTGTCTTTTAGGTAAAAGCAGAAGGCCCCGCCCTCACGCTGAGGACCCGGCCACCTGACAGGAGGGATTCGCGTCATGGGCTTCTGAAACTGGGGTTTTTGGAACTGGGCTCTTGACATCGGGTGCTTTCGTGCACCACCCCAGTCGCCTTGCTTGCAATCGTCTATACGACGACTGATTTTTCTCGACTCTTGCGCCCCTTGTACGTTCACGTTCCCAGTCTAGAAACTCAAGTCTTACATTTTAATAGGTTTTAATCGTATTATTTTTATTTCGGGCACTATTCAACTAGAGATTTAAAAAAAAAATTATATATAAATATATATTTCTTACACTCGTTGGGATAACAGGCCTATGGCATCTTGCGCCCGGAAATATGATTTGTCTTTAGGGCGTACAATGTCGGCCTCTCGTTATAGGACTTCAAACCGTGCTTCACAACTTTTACGTAATTGAATTTCTGGACGAAGAGTGTAACGCACACAAGTCCGCGCAACCCGGGAAACTAAATTAACTCCTTGTCGCGACGGGCCAGCTTCCATGCGGCTTATTTTGCTCCAAGCATCCAACCATCCACTGTTACGAAATAATGCAACACAACGCCCGTAAAAAGAAAATAAATAAATAACAAATAGAGGAAAGAAGGGGCTACCGTTAGCGAGAAGGGTAACCTCGCTCCTCCCGGTCAGGGCCCGAGAGAAGCAACGGCCTCTGTTTATTCCCCCTCGAATCTTTTATCTTCTTTGCCATCCCCTTGATGGAAAAGGCTTCATTATTTAGCGATTCATCACGCGGTAAACTTCGCGCAGCTGCCGACCGCTGCTGGTGCCGTGGCCGTGTTGTGAGTTTAGTCGTGTGAGAAGCAGACCCCAGGCACTCGGGCATATTCCCCGATGTACGTTGTTTACAACGGACCGACAAGCGCAGCGTAAGGATGTTGCCAGTACATACACCGATTCACCTAACACCACGAAAGAGAGTGAAAAAAAAAAGTTAGCGGATTGTAATTGAGAGAAGGGTGATTATGTAAGCATGTAACAGACGCCTGATTTAAATACATGTTTGTGTTTTTCTCGTCTCTTTCCAGGTGCTGCCTGCGAGCCGGAACGATAGGGTGAGTGGAGCTTCGGTTCAGTTTGGCCTATCTCTTCGTGCGACGGGGTCGGGAAAGGCAGGTTAATGGGAGGGAAGTTATATTGCGCTCGTGTGGAGGGTGGTCTGCGTTATGTTATATCTGTAGACCACGCATGAGTTGGAGAGGAATGCAAATGAGAAAACGATAGAGCTTCATTGCAGCAGTGACCTCGAGTAGAAGAAACGGTGCAGGGCTCCGGAGCGATCATAAATGGGCTACTCGTTTTTTTTTCGTTTTTTTTTTTTTTGAGCGGATTTTGTCGTAATTGTAATGGACCCTATCTGGCAGCATAAAGACGGGGTCTAGTAGCGGGCGTATGCAACTTATATTTCAGAGGGAATATTTTCTACTCTCCAAGCCTGCTGTGCAGACGACGCAAGTGTAGTCTGCTTTTTCGCCTGTACCCATTTCCTCTGAAGCGCACGACAGGACCCTGCATGCACAAACTAACGACTAACAATCGCTGTTATTAATACGGTTACTGAGGCGCAGAGTGCTTTTTCGGGGCTCCAACGTACGCGGTAAAATTTTGTACTCGTCTATACGTTGTACAGGATGTGAAAGCAGTTCCGATTCCGTGTTCGCAAACCGTGTCATGGAGTATATATACGCGTACTCGACGCAGAGCGTGACTCAGTATCATGCAATAACCTGTTTAACATACACACGCACACACACTCACACACTCACACACACACACACACACACACATATATATATATATATATATATATATATATATATATATATATATATATATATATCAGGGTTGGGCAGAAATACTCAAAAATGTATTTGGAAATACAAATACTTGAATACATTAAAATAGTAGCTAAAATACTGATACAAAGATACATCTGCGATACGTATTGGAAATACATTTTAAAAAGAGGCAAAAAGTATTTGGAAATACAAATAAAGGAATACATTTTAGGGAGGGCAGAAATACAAATACAGAAATACTGATATATGAAACATTTTCCAAATTTTTTAAGACGCCAACTGAGATGAAGCTTGAAGTTTGAAGTGGATGTTTTCGATCCCCAAATTACTTTTCTGTGGGCTTGGCACTTTGCCTTGAAGGAAGTGGTTTTGAACGACAAGGAGTATTAAATGGGCCCAAAAAAACGTTCCATCAAGGGCTGACCGACCGCGGTCTCTTTCGTGACATCCTGTCTGTGTGACGAGGGAATCCTGTCAACATTGATCACATGATGTCACGGTGGAATGAACTAGTATCATTTATCTGTAGGTGGCGGCCTTAAACATGAAACTTTACCACGCTGCTATATGAAAGGACAATATGCACTTTCGTTGTAGGTTACCTAGTTGAAAATCGTGCATACAGTGTCGTTTGGAATTTTTGAGAATAGTGGACCACCTGAAGCATCTTGGAATACATGTCTTATCTTCTGTTACGGTTGAAAAAACGATACGGTAGCATCCCTGTTCTGACGGTCCTTGCTACCGACCCCCCGCCACCGACGCACGGATCGCAGACCTCAAGTTTTGCCTAGCATTATCCAAACAGAGACCTCGTGGATTGCGAGCTGATACTGCCAGCACAGGTGCGAGCTGTCCGAGAAACAGCGGTCTCGAGACGAGTCGCGGGAGTACGCAGTCTGGGATGGCACAGCGAGGCCATTTCCGTTACTATGCAAGTTACTAAACTACTAATATGGCGGAATGTGCCCGTCTAGGACTACAGCTTTGGCAGTAAATTTGGGATCTCGGTTATCTTGTTGCTTTGAACGAGATAGGTTTGAAAGCATTCTATGCAAAAACAAAAACACTCAGTTTTTACTTTCTTTGATCTAAGTCCGTGGCAGGGTGGTCCGTGGTTCACACAGCTCATACATCAGTCTGCAAACACAAGTCACCGCAATGTCCGTGGTAGGTATGCCGCACGACAAGTTTTCTCCTTGAATTCATTGCGATGCGGTATTCGAAGCACGCATCTCGCGGTGACTCGTATTCAAATCTGTATAGAAAGTACTCACTGGCGGCCATAGTTGTGTGCGCGACTGCTGAGCGCGTGCTGTTGGCGCGCTTCCACAGTTCTTTTGTAACGTGCATACCGCACCCTCCAGATTGCCGGTCTTAGCAGCCCATTGATGTGGGCTCGTTCTGAGCATGCGCTCTAGACAGCACCCACAAATATGGCGGCCAGTGAATACTCCTTATACGCACTGTCCTTTGAATGACGTATAAGCAGTGTGACCGCGTCTTAAAGGAGCATGAAAGGATTTTCTACTTTCGTTTAGTAATACTTAGAATCACTCCCTAAGGTTAATAACTGAATAAGCTTGCCTTAATTTTTCTTTCTAGACAATGGCAGTCGCCAAAAAAATTAAATAAATATGAACATAGTTCACCCCCTCAACTCGGAGGCAGAACTATCGGCCACGTGGCCTGGTGTCTACCCTATGTCACCAATCATAGCCACGCGCGGGGGTTGGCAAGGTAGAAAACGCGTGCTGAGATCCAGGTATTGCTAGAGTTCGGATATTCTCATCCCCGCAGTAATTCAACACAAGCCACTACCAAAGTGTCCGCCAAGGCATTGATTGTTACGAGGCGAAGTCGAGTGCTCACGCAGTGCTCGTGTTCAATCCACGAGCCTCGCTCGACTGTCGTCAGGCGGGTGGTTTCCATCCCTTAATGAAGTGATAGAGATTTGCAAAGGCAAGACTGAAAGAAATATACCCCTTTTTATCCTCACCGCGACAGAGAAGCTTCTGAATCAGTGGCGGTCTGCGCGAATATACTTGGGCCAGACTAGGAGCAGGGCGCCTCTGCAAAGTTGCGAACATCCCGATTCGATATGGTTTCATGGCCCCTTTAATAATCCAGACTTGCTCCGCCGTTTTTCCCCATCCCGAGAGCAGGAACACTCACTGCGTGAAACTTGCTCCTGTAGTTTTCACTTCCTTTGCAACAACGGCGGAACGGAAGTTACCTAAACCGACCGCTCCTACCGCCTAGATGTATAACGCTCAAAAATCTCTCTCTCTTTGCCTGTTCATGCGTACATATGCACAGTGGACAGATAGAAAGTTGTCGGCGAAACGCAAATTATACAAGTTCACTCGCGGAGGCGCCTCCACGGGTTGTCGTCCGTCTCAAGAAACAGTGATGGAGAGTCGTCGAGCTGCGACATACGCGGACGGTTCTCCTTCGCAATTAGAAAAGACGCCGCCGCGCCTCTCCCGGCAATGAAAAGGGGGGGGGTCTGTCGCGATACTGAGTAGCTGGGACAGGAATTAACATGCAGATGAACTCGCGAGCGCCGAGTGCGGAGTGCCGAGATTGACGAGGAGGGAATGCAAATGAGGGGATTTATTTTAGCCCGCGTACCGAAGGACTCGGCAAAGTGCGACGATAGGGGAGGGGGGGGGGGGGAGGGAGGGAGGGAGGGAGGTAGGGAGGGAGGGGAGAGAAGCACCTGATGCCTCCTGTGCACAGGAGGCATCTTTCTTTTCTTTCATTCTTTGCTTCTCGTACGCGCACTCGCAGTGGCTCTCTGTTTTAATAGGGAGCTTTCGCAGTCCGTTTTCACACCTCCGCTACGTTGTCCGAAACTGCGCATGCGCGGCGCTAGCCTTGCCTGCAGAGTCCCGGATCTCGTAGGGGGTTGCGGAGAGCATTGCGGAACGGAGGAAACGATCTACGAAAATTCCCTTATCAGTGCCCAGGTGCTGTCGACGTGCATTACGGAAAGCGTCGCCCTGGTCGCCCTTCCACGATTGCCCAAAACGGCTCACTATAACGTCTTGAGTAGGATGATTTCTGCTGTCATGGACGGAAATAAGACTCAGAATCTCAACCCTGACGGTGTTCATTTGTAGAACGTGATGACTTGGCTTCCATCGCCCTTTTTACGCACCAAACTTGTCGCTTGTGACTAATAATTGAGGTCGTGCCGCCAGGGATAAAAGAACAACCATAAGAGGACGCCACCGAAACATCTCCTTGCCAATAATGTGGAGAAGGGGAATGGGGCTGTATATAGCCTCCGACAGTTTAAGAAACGCCGGGCCGTGGTACTTCCGTTTCCGTCTACCTTCATCCGGTCCGTCGTTTTTTTTGCGCTCTCTTCACCTTCTGAAGTGGTATATTATTTTTTCACTCCTTGCTTCGCGGGTTGTCTTTAGACGTTGGGCAAATGCTTAAGTACTGTTGGTTGCACGAGGATATGGAGATCATCAGAACCCTCGACGGCCTACGCTTCTTGCGCTGCAAGTTACTGCGTAGCCAATGTTTGCCGTAGGTTAAGAAAGAGTTATGTACCTAAAGACAGGGGACGGGACAACACATGAAAGATGTGTTGTCCCGTCCCCTGTCTTTACGTATATAACTCTTTCTAAACCTACATCATTGCCAACGCGCTCACTAACAAGTGCAATGTTTGCCTTTTGGCTTTTAAACGGAATTGTCCGGGTCAAAAAGGAAAAAAAGCACGCGCCCGATCCAGATTAGAGACGACAAACCGGCCGCCCTTTTTGGCGCATTAGAACCGATTTGGGGGGTGCGAAAGGACAAGCGCAGTTGTCATCTTTTGACCAGTTCCGGTGGGCTCTATCGCCTGAACATGCCCAAACATGGAGGTCCGTTTTCTATATTCCTCTTACCATAGTAGAATGGTCTCAAAACTGTTCATCTTAGAGGGCGCACCGTGGATCTTTTAAGTAGAGTTCCTGTAAAGACTCCCTACGGGAGTCTTTACAGGAACATCCCCTTCCCCAGCTCAGAGTAGCCAACCGAGGCAGGCCGCCTTGGTTAACCTCTCTGTTTTCTCCTCCTGCCCTTACCTTCTCTCTCCCTACGGGAGTCAGAGTTGCGCGTTTATCCTCGGCGGGTGGCCGTAGCGCCGGCTTTCCTGCAAGGTCCTGGATTCCTTGCTCGTCACGTGACTGAATTCGGCGAATAGCGGCGATGCGCGCGACGCCGGGCATGGAAAGCAGGAAAGGAGGAGAAAG